GCACTGTGAGAGCAGAAAGTTCAATACTGACCTGCTCTAGAGAAGTAATTTATTATACAGGTTATTTTACAGTATTTGTAAAACCCTCATATTTTATTCCACCGAAGTTGAGTTTATAATCGTGTGCTTGAAATAGCAATTATTAGTGGATTTCTGAATTCTGTTGTGACTTGAATATTTGTGTGCTTATTTTTGTATTGCACACACATTTTCGGCAATTCAAATAATACGACATGAACTGCAACACAAAACTGGAAATGTTGAAAAATCTTATTAATATGTTTTTGAATCTGCATTTTGAATTTTTTGTAATTAAGAATTTTTGGGACAACTGTCAGTATTTCTCAGAAAACGGATGCATTGCAGTCTGTTCACATCAATTAAATGAAAGTGTTCGCTTGTTCATTAATTGCATAAGATCTCTTTATTCTTTTGTTACTCTGTTTAGCTTTGATCATCTCCAGTATTTTCATCTGGAATCAATACAAGCCTTCTTGATGCATAGCAGGCAAATATTCTGGAACATACTTCTTTCTTGGAATAGAGTGGCTATATTTTATACTTGATCTTCCAAAGCATAAAATAATATGAAAGTTTGTTTTATTTTAAAACTGTTGAAGAAAATGTAAGTGGGATTTCCAAGATTGTGTTGGCTGCATAAGAAACGGTTAATTATGTGACCTACATGCTGCGTCTCTGGCACAAGCCTGCTCAGTGGTCTGTGATAAAAGGCCTTATTAAATACTGTAATGATTTATGTACATCTGCAGCCAGATATAATCTTTAAAGAGGAAAAACATAAAGGGAAACAAAGGGAAACTGCTCAAAACCAAGTCCTGTAGGCTCAGAAGTGGAGAAGAAATTAGAAACACAGATTTAAATCATCAAGGCAGACATACTCTAATGTAGATGTTCATAGTGGCTACCAACAGCTGTGTGATCTGAAAAACAATCATTCGGTTTTGTAGTGTACATTGGTTTGTTGTTCTCAAGCTGATCTAAGCCATTTTCTTCTCCCTGTAATGGGATCTTTTCTACCCATGCCCTTATGATCCACCCAGTTTCCAGTACTGCTCTGCCATCAGTCATGTGTAATGGATCTCCTGCCCTCTGTCTAGTAGGGGATTGTATTTGCTTTGGTTTTCTTGATTTTTTTTTTTTTAATTTTTTTAAAGGTACATACTTAGCACTACATGAGGTGACAGCTAGAGTGTGGCGTTTGCGTACATGCAGAGATTTGTCACGGTTCTGCATTCCTGTCAAAGCTCCTTCCAGAGTTCCTCTTGGAAAAGCTGCTGCAGAACAGAACCCTACCCTGTGGTGAAGGTTTTGCCATGCCAAAGAGCACAAGTTTGATCCACGGTTCATTCATTGTTTCAAACCTAAATATCCTCAGCTTTAGGTGATGTTCTAGATCAGAACTGCACTGCAAGAGAGGTTTACAGCTTTTTACAGAGTTTGGATTACAGCATTTATGAGTTGGATTCTTTGCCTACAGATCATTAACCCTGAAACATTAATTGGATTTGCAGCCATGCGAACATATGTTCCCCAGAACTCTAAAACTGAGCAGTGATACCTGTGTTTTCATTTCTGTTCATCTGTCTTTTCATGGGGCAGTGTGTGATAAGGTGGCTTTTTTTTCCTCTGTGTATTTTCTTTGCACGATGTCCTGTGTAGCCTAGCAGGAAATGTGAAGTCTCCAGTTGAGGTGAAAATACAAGAGTATTGACATACCATGGTTTAAATGACATTTTTTCCATTCATTTCTCTCAGAGATGCAGTGTTCGTGGTAGTGTCTTTGATCATCCCAATCCCAAACAGCAGTGATCCAAATACAGCGTACAATTCCTAAATCTCTTTTATCCTGCTGTATTTATCAAGTTCCTTTGTTTCTCTTCAAACCTGTTTTCTTCAAACCTGTTTTTCTTTGCCAGGTTTTGGAAAGAGTCTCGGAAGAAGCAGATAGGAAAATCAGGTTTCACTTATCTTTATTCAGATACAGTTATTTAAATCATTCTTTTTAGAGTTTTGATTTTAAGATAAAGCAGAGGGTCTGACCAGGCACAGAAAACTGCAAGATTTTATTTTGTAAGTTAATACTAATAATATGTAACATGATACAAGGATTATTTGTGTTTTCTGTAACAGAGAAATTAGACAGACTACTGTAAGCCAAAAGTTGGCATCTGGATTACTTTGAAATTGTGATGGGCCAATAATTATGATTTTCCAGTATTATCTGTGAGCGTTGAGTAGAGGTACTTAACAATCTGGCATTACCAGGAATGTCAGTTTTACTGAGCTCATAGACTGTTAGTCAAGGAGAACTGCACTCTAGTTTTCAGCTTGGCTTGTTTTGACTCTAGGTGTTAGTTCCAGGAGAAAAGAGGGTGCAAAGCTCTTTCAGGTCAAAGGAAGCACTTTGTCTCTTGGTTAGTAAGTATTGTCAGTGGGAGCTGGGGAACTGCGATGCTGTATTAGTGTGCTAGACAAGTAAGCAATTCTGCTGTTGTGGCTAACTCAGCTAGCCCTAGTTTAAGAATTAGGTCATACCTGATTGGAGACACTAGGTGGTTTGTTTCTGCTGGGTGTTTTGTGCTCTTTTGTTTTAAAGAGAAACTCTGAGTCAAATAATTAAGGGGGGGAAAAACCCCACCAACAATTAAACATGAAGTGGATGGTTTATAATACAGTTGCTGACAATACGCAGAGAGTGAGCGGGACGCAGGCATGCATACACACACTTCCACCGCTCTCGCACCCCGTAGGTGTGTGTATATGTACTTTGGTTATACTGATGATGAACGAACCATGACATGTATCACACGTTACTCTGAGTCTTCATATTTTCTAGTGCTGAAAGCTGCATGAAGGTCTGCCACCACTTCTGAGTCATGCCAGCACATGTATTCAGTTAACCAAGAGGTAGAAGGTTTTTGGTCTTTATGTGTGTTTTGAGCAGAAAAATGTCTCGTGTATGCACAGGTACATGCATTGCCTTGTGAGTGGGGTGCTGAGCCTTTCTGGGTTCATTGAGATTTTTGTTTGCAGTGAGTCTTTGGGAAATTGGTTTGTTTTGATGAAGCTGTTCTGAAGTGTTTTATTTGGATTATGGTGAGGGCTTCTGATAAAACACACAAAAACTTGCCAGGTGCCAGAAGCCAATGGGGTTTCTCAAGTCTACCTAGCTTGGAAGCACCGAGAGGGCATGGAAGTGGGGAAGGAAACCAAGCCCTCCACGCAGAGGAGAATGAGTGGGATGGACAAGAGCGTCCCATTCAGCTCGCTCCTACTGTCATGATGGTGGGCTGGGAAGGGAAAGAAATACATTGGATACCACCACTGGAGAATTTTAAACATAGAATAAAAATGGCCAGGAAAAAAATATACAACAGTTCACCATCTTCACTAATAAGAGACTTTCCTGCTGTCAACTTGAACTGATTGTCTTTTGCTAGTTTTTACCTTCTTAAGGTATACTTTGTTCAGTGCAAGGACTATATTATCTTCATGTTTGGAAAACTGCTGACAACTTGCAGATGTTGCTGAGATATGAAGAGTAATGAGGAAACAATATCCTTATTATATATATATATAGTTCTTCACCTCTTTATGTTTCTCTCTGCTAGTATTCTATTATTCAACTTAGTATTGAAATACTTGTAAAAAACCCTTTCTTCTGGCACTGTAAAAATCTGTGTTTTAAAAGCTTACAAAGATAAATATTTAATACCCCAATGGGCATTGCAGCATTTTCAGCAAGATTCATGAGCATCTGATTGCTAAAAAGAATTCTGCAATCTTGAGATTAGACAACCTTAATAATTGGTAAAAAATGGATATTTTAGTATCTGACGCAGCCCTGAAGTGAAGAGCACCACTGAGTGGTGACCTCTCCTTTGTTTCCTCTTTCACCTTCTCCTTCGTCTCCCTTTAAAATCTGAAAGCTGGCATTTTTGTGGGTTTCCAGCAGAGCTGGGTCAGGAAGCAGCAGCGTAGGAGAATTTGCATATTGGTTTCCTTGTTTGCAAAGCAAAAAAAAAAAAATCGACCAGAGGTACAAGAGGAAGGCTCTTAGGCTGGGTTTTCTGCTTGGCAAAGTAGGCTGGATGGGTGTGTTGTGCAAGCTGAAAGAATGCTGAAGGAGAAGAGAAGTTTTAAAGTTTTAAAGGGAAGGAGGGAGAAACTCATTAATCTTTTTACCCACTGGTAAATTTTATTCCGCTCTTAGTTTGCCAAAGTTGACATATTATGCATATTTAAAATACCTTGGTGTTTTGGGGTCTTTTTTTGAGGACAGTGGTTCCCAAACGGTACACCAGTGATGGTGCATGAGCTTGATCTACTCACTGACTTCATAGCAGTTTTTAGAAGGCGGCAAATGAATATTCAGTGTCAGCTTTTGAACTCTGAAGCTGATTTATTTACTGCATCTGAAGAAGAAGGATTAATTGGTAACTCCAGCGTGGACCTGCTGTTGCTGTTCCTGGGCTGCGTGCCTGTGTGGGCAGGGTCCCGCTGGAGGCACAGGGGCTTCCAGCAGTCACTGATGCCCACTTCCTTCGAGCAGCTCCCAGGATCATTGCCTGCTTTCCTGAGGACCTGCAGGATGCTGCTGACAGCAAAGAAAGCCCTGTGGCACAAGGTGGCAGCTCTGGACAATGAGTGTTGGTCTTTGCAAGGTCAAAATTGCGCCAAGTACCTAACAGGGAACTGGATTGACTGAAACAATTGCAAGTCAGTTTGCCAGAACAGCATAGCATTTCAGGGCAGCATAACCTTTCAGAAGAAACGTCTGAATATCACTGAAGCAAGCAGGGTACCAGGGACTGAGTACTAATTGGTGTCAATACTTGATCCATCTTGGCAAGGGGAGGCTGAGGGTGAAAGAACAGAGATGTTATACGGTGGCAGATTTTCAGTTATTAGTTGTAAATTTCTCACTTCTACTTTTGGAACTTGTGTCTGCTGAATCCTTTGCCTCTGTAGACAGCATCATGGGTAGCAAAGAGGATTGGGGCGTAAGAAGTGAGTGCAACTTCATGTCAGTGCAGGTGCACTATCTAGTCACTGACTCGAGCAAGGAGTCGCAGGGAAACCAGAGCTCAGAGATGGGGTGGGATTTGATTTGACAGCATTCACTGGCAGTGTCTGTTGCCATATTAAATACCTAGAAAACAGCGGGAATTTGGTATGTGGTCATTTAGGAACTATTATTGCTGAACCTTTAGGGACCATCTTAAATGTTTGGTGTGTCTATTAAGGAGGTACAACAGTAAGTCTGTTGAGCGTGTGTCACTGGTGGTGCATTGCCATTTGAGAGTGAGATACCCATAAGGTCTCTGGAGGAAGTCTTGGTCTCGTAGACAAACTCCCACTGACTTAGTGCAAGGTCTGTATTTCATCCACCATAAAACCTGAGAGTAAATTTGCGGGGAGTTTTTTCAGAATTAAAGCTTTTTATTCTCTACCCTAGTAAATGTAGGGTAGAGTTGGTGCCATTCAATTTCACCCATTTTGTTTTGTTTGCAAAAAGCACCATATGTGCAAAATAATGTCACCTTAGCCTGTTCTGCCAACTGAGTGGTCTGATTGGCTAAACAACCTTCTGCTAAAAAACTGTATAATGAGATTGTTTTATTTTGAAGGTAATATTTAATTTCTTCTAGGAAAAGCCTGCTTTACTCTTATGATAGCTTATATTTTTGTTAGTGCTTTGAATTTGTTATTGTTTGCTACCTTAGTTAAACCTACTGTAGAAATGATTGCTGTAATCCACAAAAAAAAAGTTATTCTCTGGTTAAAAGCCAGGCAGTGAGTGTGAATCTCACAACTGACATAGTCCAATAGTATTTTCTTCCTTTTCAATTAGAGCTCTAGATACTAGCTAAAATTTCAGTTCTACTATATCTATAGTTGTGCTTTTTCCTTTATATCTCTGTGTTTGTGTGTCCTACTATTTACTGCTCCCTTGTTTCCTCCTTTATATTAACAAAAATATTTTATTGTAAACCATTACTGTTATCTCCACAGATAGCTTTCCTGATAAGTCATGTATTCTTCTTTGTTCCTTTGAATGTTTTCACCTCGCCATTCTCAAGTTGTATTTTAATTTACTTATCTTTCAGCATGAGCTCATCTATGAGGCCTTGATTTTGTTCCCCTTCTACCCAGGGATTTTTAACTGTAACTGTCTAGTTTCTGTTGCATGACAAGATTTCCATAGCTGGATACAGCAGTGTGTTGTGTGCTCTGATACATGTTCAGATATTTTCTGGTTTCTTTTTAGTGCTTTGCTGTGCGATCTCTGGGCTGGGTAGAAATGGCAGAAGAAGATTTGGCTCCTGGAAAAAGCAGTGTTGCTGTGAACAATTGCATCAGACAACTCTCTTACTGTAAAAATGATATCAGAGACACTGTTGGCATCTGGGGAGAGGTAAGAATGAGGTGAACTTGGAACATCACTCTTGTCTCATAAAACATCTTGAAAGAACAACTCTGTAGGCGAGTATGTCCATACTCTGTGTTTGGGATTTCCCTATCCCATCTGGCACCGCCAAAAAATATAAAAGGGTTCACGGAAAGTGTTGACGTTTTTGTTCCAAACTGCTCAGGACAGCAGATGCCACAAATATCTTGTCTTCGTGTTTACATCTGTGCTAGTACACACCAGTGCAATAATGATGTTGGGCGCACACAAGCCAAACTTTGACATCAGTGGCAGTCTTATCTCCTGACCAGAGGTTTGAGAGTGGTGCTTTGGAACAGCATTTTCACAGGTTTCCCAGTGACAAAAGGATGTTAAGGAAACCCAGACTGGTGTGACCCGTGCTCCTGAAATGTATGAGAAGATCGAGACTAATGGACAGATGGCTTATTTTAAGATTATTATTTTATCAGTGTTTCAGAAGGAAATTAATTTTATGTCATCAGTCTGTTTGTTGATTCCTCTCCAATAACTCTTGAGTCTGTTCACTAGTGTCATCCAGTTTTGAAGGATGCCAAATTCCCACATACTGAGGGAAAAACAGAGAGCCCAGCTCTTCTCTTTCTTGGTTTGCTGATGGGTCAGTACACCTTCAGCGACTGAAGCGTGCAAGATCTGTACTTCTTTCTGAATTGGCAGCAAAGACAGGATAATGCTGTGGGAGCTCAGGGGAAAACAAGAAGGAAGCTAGAGGTGTTATGGTGTGGAAAATAAGTGTGCTGGGGACAGATGAAGGAGTAGAAAGTGGAGAGGGATCAGTAAGTGAAACAAGAAAGGAAAAGGTGGGGTTATAGTGGTGGGACATACAGAGGAGACAAACCTATAGAAATACATCTTTGTTATTTGATTGTTCATGGAACAACTTAAACTTCAGCCAAATCTTATTCTCTGTCTCTCTCCTGACATGTTTTCATGTCTACATATCTACACTAATGTGGATTTACTACACAAGATCTGAATGCAAAAGCAATGTAAGAGTGTATGTTGTAACCTTCGCTTGTGTGATCTAAGAGAAATGGCACTGCCAAACAGAAGAGGAATTAAAAGAAAGACTCATCTATTTCAGTAAAAATTTTAGGAAAAATATCCTTCAGTCTCCGGAGTTATTGTTACAGTCTAAGGCTTGAGTCCAGTGTCTCCTGGCTATGGCCACAACAATGCAGAGATGCTTCAGAGGAGCAACTGGGAGGACGTGCCTGTTTAAAAATTAAAATGATGTTTCAAGGGACACATTTAGAGTGCCCTAGCTATTTAAAAGTAATTTCAGAGGGGATTTTCTATGTAAGAAATTTATATTGTATGTGTAAATGAACAAGGTAACAAGGTCTCCTTTTTCCTCACTTCTGGGAACAGCTTTATTTAGTTAATATAGCTAGACAAGCAATTAGAGATGTGTCGGTCATGGACTTTGGACTCACTGCTAACCTCAGGACGGAAAAAACCCCACTGTCTTTACATATGTGTAATCCCATCCATTTTTCAGATGACAGAACTTTGATCAACTTGAAATATATTGTTTAATTTGAAACCATATGCTTTGTTTTGGTTTAAGAGTTAATGTTCACATTTTTCCATATTTCTCTCTGTCAATCACATTGTTCTTTGTTGGAAACCCTTGCAAGTTTTCAAGCCAAACTGATGAAAAGTTTTGGTCCTCTTGAACGGAAGTTTTAATTAAGAATACTATTCATAAAAAACTAAAAAGAATCAGCCTGACAAAACAATAGGGACACTATGCTTGAATAGGTGACCCCTGAAGTGAACTGTCTTCTTGATTTTAAAAGAAATCATTACAACCAACCACATTTTTCTGCTGGCAATGTAATGCTTCAAGAGTGATTGGAAGAGGCACATTTTGGAGAGGAATCTGAAAAAAGCATGCTTGTCACTGACGTTATCAGATAGAGCACATACAGCAG